ATCATTGCAGGACACTGGAAAACTGTACAAAGTACTGGAGAAAAACATGTGGGTAAAATTTTCAGCCTCGCCTATGTATCAAAAGCCTTTCAAATAACTATAGCCTTTAACTATGCAGTCCTGCTTTTCAAAATTTATTCTGAAGAATCAGCATAAAGGTTTGAATTATAGAAGTGATCCAATGATGAATTATTGATGATAGTGGGAAAAAAATCCACAATCTAAAAGTTCAGTATTAAGAGGTGGGTTCGATAAAATACAATACCCCCGAATCATGAAATACTAAACTATGCAATAGTTAAAAAGACTGGGTGGTTCAGTCGGTTAAGTGTCTGACTCGATCTCAGCTCAGGTCTTGATCTCAGGGTCATGAGTTCAAGCCCTACATTGGGCTCCATCCTGGGCATGGAGCCTACTTAAAAAAAAAAAAAAAAACATCTTTTCAAGCTGGTTCATTTCCAGACTGGGTAAAACATCCCTGCTCCGAGTACCCTAAGCACTTGCCTGTATTGGCACTTAGCGGACTATTGTTATGGCTTGCTTAATAATCCGGTCCTCCCTGGGGCACCTGGGTGGCTCAGTCATTGGGCGTCTGCCTTCGGCTCGGGTCATGATCTCAGGGTCCTGGGATCGAGCCCCACGTCGGGCTCCCTGCTCAGCCGGAAGCCTGCTTCTCCCTCTCCCACTCCCCCTGCTTGTGTCCCCTCTCTTGCTCTCTCTCTCTGTCAAATAAATAAAATATTTAAAAAATAAATAAAAAATAAATAATCCGGTCCTCCCTGTGCTAGGGACCATGGCCCCTTTGCCATCTGTCTAACACAACATCTTGCACATAGGAGAGTCCCGGTAAAGGTTTATCCAATGTATGAGTGACTAGATCTTCATAGAAAACTGGAAGGATATGCACCAACAGGTTAAGAAAGTTTATTTCTGGATATCTAAGTACTTTTCTTCCTTATACTTTTTTACAAGCTCCAAATTTTCTACAATGGACCTAATATCATTCTGTAGTCAGAAAAGATAGCATACAATTACTAAACATTGTAACTCAGAGCCTGCCATGAAATACTTGGAGCCCAGTTTTTTGTTTTTAAAGATTTTATTTATTTATTTGACTGAGCCACCCAGGTGCCCCTGGAGCCCAGTTTTTAATATGAGCTCCCTGTTAGGCTCTGCTCTGTTTCATCAAATCCATTATTTGCAAATCAGAACTCAAATAACACATATATTAAACGGTGATTTTTCTCAACACCAGAAGATTCATGGAAGGGGGTCCATTAAATTGTAAATTCTTCTAAGACATGTTGACATCATTTCCTTTTTTTTTTTTAAGATTTTATTTATTTATTTGACAGAGAGAGAAAATAAGCAGGGGGAGCGGCAGAGGGAGAGGGGGAAGCAGGCTCCCCACTGGGCAGGGAACCCGATGTGGGGCGCCATCCCAGGACCCTGGGATCATGACCTGAGCTGAAGGCAGACGCTTAACCAGCTGAGCCACCCAGGCGCCCCTGACATCATTTTCAAAATAGTCCATCTATCTACTTATTTTCAAGACAAATCTTCAAGGGAAGTTCACTGGCTTAATTTTATTTTGTGAAAGCTACTGTTTAGAAATCTTCATCCTCCTAATCCACTGGTCATTTTACCTAGAGCATGGATGGTATCAAGTATTTTTATGAAAGTCTGAGGTTTATACTTTCTTTAAGGTGAAATGATTTGCTTTTTCCTGGTAAAATTCAAAAGAGAATTTTTTTTAAGATTTTATTTATTTATTTGAGAGAGAGAGCATGAGAGGGGAGAGGGTCAGAGGGAGAAGCAGACTCCCTGTTCAGCAGAGAGCCCGATGTGACTCGATCCCAGGACTCCAGGATCATGACCTGAGCCGAAGGCAGTCGCTTAACCAAATGAGCCACCCAGGCGCCCTAAAAGAGAATTTTTTTAAAGTTTGCATCCTGGCATCCTTAGCCAGGGATGTTTCACAATGGAAAACACAAAACCATATATAGTTTTAGGTTGTCCTCAAACTGTTTCATTCTATGGCTCTACCCTCCAACTATCCCCTAGGTACTAAAGGCACACATTTCCCAGGCTTCTCCTCATTTGGTTTTGTAGAAGCTCCAAACCCAGATAAAAATATGTGAATAATCAAAGTTGTTCTGATCTCACTCTTTTTTTTTTTAATAGATCTTATTTATTTATTTGAGAGAGAGAGATCGCGCGAGAAAGGGAGACCATGAGCAGGGGGGACGGGCAGAGGGGAGAGGGAGAGGGAGCAGCAGACTCCCTGCTGAGCAGGGAGTCCAAAGCAGGACTTGATCCCAGGACGCTGGGATCATGGCCTGAGCCGAAGACAGACGCTAAACTGACTGATCCACCCAGGCACCTCTGATCTCACTCTTTTGAGGCTCCTTCCCAGTTAATTCTGTTCTGTGTCTGCCTAGTGAACATCCTGTGACACACAGACACACGTACCCCATAACTGTAGCTTGCGCCGTGTACTCCCCAGGCAAAAATTCTATCCTTCCATTTGCTCTCACTCCAATCAAACTGATCTGCCCAGCATGCCTCTCCTTCTTGTTACATAACAATACAGCATAAGGTTTCCCAGTGGTTTATTGGTTCTTGCTGGTGGGTGTCAGGCTTGCCTTTTAACAGCAGGCTGACATAACAGCCTTGCCCCGAGGCTGTCCTTCTAATAATCGTGGTAATTTCAGGAGTGGTGCCTGTCTGCCATACCACCATCTCATTGCAGTGGCCCCCCGGGGAAGGAGTGGGAAGGAGAGGGAAAATGCTAACCACCTGAGACAACTCAGGGAGGAGCCCCATTTTTGTCCAAGTGTTTGCATTTCTGTCCCTATGCCTTCTTCCTGGCAGGCCCTTGGTGACATTCCCTACCAGAAGAGCAGGCACATGGTGAAATGGAAACTGTCCCATCAAATAGAGAAGCAAATAAGAACACAAGGGTAAGTACATTGAGCCCAGCCTTCCTGTCAGATTAAAATGGAGCCCAGCCTTCCTGTTGGATTAAAAATCTCTCTGGGTTATCCGATAGTCACCCTTCATTTTATCTGAACAGAGGCTTTTTTCTACTGTGGAGAAGCAGGTCACCTCTGCAGGTTCTCTGTGCTCTATTACCTAGACCTGTGGAAGGGTCCCCTTGCTTGGTGGCAGAGTCTGGAACTGCTGCTCGGCAGGACTGGGTCATTCAGGCCGCCACCTTTGCCTGGACCCACGTACTCCAAAGCTCCCTTTTCCTAGTTTATTATAACTCCAGTCCTTTTTCTTTTTAATTTGCTTCTCTTTCTTTTTAAAAATTTTTATTTATTTTTTAAATTGAAGTATAATTAACCTTCAGTGTTATATTAGTCTCAGGTGTACAGAATGTTTCTCAAGAATTCTGTACATTACTCAGTGCTCATCATGGTAAGTGTGCTCTTAATCCCCATCACCTATGTCACCCATCTCCTTAACCACCACCCCTTTGGTAACCACCAGTTCTCTATATTTTAAGAGTCTGGTTTTTTGTTTGTCTCTTATTTTCTTTGTTTGTTTCATAAATTCTACACCTGAGTGAAATCATATGGTATTTGTCTTTCTCTGACTGATTTATTTCATTTAGCATTATACCCCCTGGATCCATCCATGTTGTTGCAAATGGCAAGATTTCATCCTTTTTTATGGTTGTTCTTGATGGTGAAACTGGAGCTTGTTTAAGTACATCTTGACAGCTGGAGGGACAATTCTGACCTCTAGCTCTTGACCTTACAAAGCAACTGCCCAACGCAAATATAATGTAAGCTACATATGTGACTTAAAATTTTCTGAGTAGTCATATAAAAAAAGTAAAAAGAAACAAGTGAAGTTAATTTTAATAGTATTTTATTCAACTCAATATATCCAAATACATTTATACCCAATTACTTTTCAGCATGTAATCAATATGAAAATTATTTATGAAATATTTTATATTTTTTGTACTAAGTCTTTGAAATCTGGGTGTGTATTTTGTGTTCACAGTGCATCTGAATTTGGACTAGCATATTTCAAATGCCCAGGGGCCACATATGGACAAAGGCTACTGCATGAAACAGGGCAATTATAGAGGAAGTATGGCAGGATTTTGGAGATTGTCCAGCCTGACTCCTTAGTTACAGAAAAGTTAAGTACATACTCTGAAGTTATGCAACCAGTTTGTAAAAAAGGCGGGATTAGAAGCCAATTATCCTCACCCTACCCTATAGTCTTATTCTCAAAGCTGATTAGCAGCAAAGCTGGACTAGAACCCGAACCTCCTTAGGCCTGCTCACACCTGCTCTGGACCTCTCTTTTCTACCAGGCAAGCCTAGAGGGAAGAAGCCTTTACCCCTGTCTTACTTTCCTCCTAAATAGACTAACAGCTCCACTGGAAACAATTTGGCTGTAAACCAAGACCAGAGTGGGGTTGAATTTTTCCATATCTTTCTACCAGATAATGTTTTTTTTATGACTTGTCACCCTTGTCCCTGAAACCAGAAACTCTTAGTTTCACCAAGCTACTTAAAAAACTCTGATTCCTTTAGGCAATGGTTCTCAGTAGAGGTGTCCATCAGAATCACCTATGGAGCTTCAAAATAATTCAAATGACTGGTCCCCTGCTCCAAATCCTGATGTATAGGTTTGTGGAGGAAGTCAAGTAGATCACTATTTTTTAATGGTTCCCAAGTGATTCTGATGCATACCCCCAACTCACAATGACCTCACCAACTGCCAAATTCCTGCTGATGTTGCCAGACCTGCAGGTGTCTGACACTGTTGACCTTGCCAGACCAGACAGGTCGAGTCTTAAGAAAGAACCTGGTCTCAAGGAAAGAAACGTGAGACAGGTACCCCAGCACCTCCGGGGGCGGGGCTTCCTGCTTCCTTTTCCTCCACACGCTCTGCTCCCAAGGCCACCTCCAGCCTCATTTCCTGATTCTCCAGCCTCAGCTGCAGTGCAGCCCCAGCTGGTGAGGCAGGCAGGAATGCGGCAGACAGGACTCGCTCTCATGGCCTTGGCTGCCTGTGTGGCCCTTCCCTCCTCGGAAGGTGAGTGGGGGCGCTGCCTCCCAAGATGGAGCTGGAAGGAGTGAGGTGCTGGCGGCAATTTGGGGCAGGAAGTTCGATCTCTTCAGGTAGGAATTCCCAATTATCTACAAGAGAGCGGCATAGGTTTAAGTTCCTGATCTTCGAGAAGGACGGAACCTCATTTGAACAGGCATATTAGTAATTTGCCACGTGGAGGATGAGATCCTTCCATACAGCAACTTTAAGCTGTGTTTCCTTTTCTGACAACAGTGTCTTAGAAAACCCCCAGGTAGAGGTTGGAGGAAAGCCCTGTCTCCCCCTCGCCATCCTAGCCTGCTACACTGGATACAAGTGTGCATGTTCCTACAGGAAAGACAGACTTGACCTTCGGGGTTAGGGGTTTGGTAAGCAGCAAAGTCAGCCCTGTGGATGCTGCAAACCAAAACTTCAATCGGACATTGAAAAAGGGATGCAGGAAAGGGGCAGCTGGGTGACTCAGTCGGTTAAGCCTCTGACTCTTGATTTTGGCTCAGGTCATGGTCTTGGGGTCTTGGGGTTGTGTGATCGAGCCCCGCTTGGGTCTCTGTGCTCAGCGGCGCATCTGCTTCTCTCCCTCTCCCTCTGCCCCCTTCCACTGCCTTCTCTCTCTCTCTCTCTCTAAAATAAATAAGTGGGTCGTGGGGCACCTGGGTGGCTCAGTCGTTAAGCATCTGCGTTCGGCTCAGGTCATGATTCCAGGGTCCTGGGATGGAGCCCCACGTCGGGCTCCCTGCTCAGTGGGGAGCCTGCTTCCCTCTCTCCTCCCTGCTCCTGCTCTCTCTCGCTATCTCTCTCTCTCTCCAATAAATAAATAAAATTTAAAAAATAAAATAAAATAAATAAATGGGTCTTTATAAAAAAAGGGATGCAGGATAGAGGAAATCGAACCATACAAATTATATCAAAGAGAACTTAATTTGTGAATTGCTAGCATATATATGGAGATTATAACTGCATTTGGACCAGAGGCAATGTTTTCTACTGTACTTAGGAAAACCTAAACCTAAGTACTTATTACTTGACTGATTTGACTGTTATCCCCTTTATTCTGAATAGATTCTCTAAATCCAGAACAGAGGTGAAATATATAAGTTTTGTTTGGTCTGCTTTTGAAAACATTAAGCCAACATTTAAAAACTGACAGATTTCATGTACACATTCTCATACAGACACACAAACTGGATTTTTTAAAGCTTCTCTTGAAAAATCACAGCTGGCCACAAGGGTTCCATGTTCCCTGGCAAAAACTGGCTGGAGCAGAATAGCCTCTGTCCTTCTCTGAAGTTGGCTCTCATCCTATTAACTGCCTGGTTCCTACAGGTATTTGTTTAGGGGCCCCAGTACAGTGTGCCAATGGACTGGGTTTTATGTGACTGAGCACGGGAAAAAATCTGGGTGATCTCTTCTTCACTTCTATCAATCTGTCTTATTAAGACAAAGACGCCAGTGTGTCATCTTATATGTTTCTGTAAAATTTTTTCAGAAAAATTCACCATGGAAGTGTTAGGATTTGCTTTCACCGTCTCTCAAAGGTTTACCTGCTAAGGCTTTAGTACTAGTTTTGGCAGTACAAATTTAACTTTTTTCACAGAAAACTTTGAAATAAAAGTGTATGTTTCTCCCTTCTGCTTCCTGACCTGTTTCCAACTGTCCCCGCAGCAGCCCCCCTCTGGGAGGGGAGGGAGAGAAGGGCGGGGGAGGTGGGGGATGTCCCTGCTGCATCCAGGACCCAGGGCCAAGCTTCGCGGGGGACCCAGTCCTGGCAGAGAGGGCGGGACCGCAAAACACAGAGGGGTTTGAAAAAGGAACGGTTGGTGATGGTAAGAAAGAAAGAGCACCGAGGAGACCCCGCAGTGGCCTTCTGGGCTATTCCCAGGGTTTTTTTTCCTAAGGCAGTTTGGGCCACCGGAAAATCACAGTGTCCTCTGCCATTTAAAAATAAGCAATGCCTGAGAGCAGCTGTGGAACCGAGAGGGGCAGCCAGCTGCTTTCCAGAAAAGACTTCTGCGGACTACCTCTGTGTCCTGCGTGCCCTGTGGGAGGCTCTAAGGGATTCCGGCCTGGGAGGGGGAGGGAGGCAGGGAGGGGGGCATACTGAGCAGGGCAGGGAAGGAGGAATAGGTAGCTTTGGCAGTCGTCACAGGCTGGGGCTGGGGACCTGGAAGTGGTCTGTGCCCGCTGGAGACTTTGAGAAGTACATTTTGTTCTTACAGGCATCAACCGTTCCATTATCTTACTGTTGCCGTAAATGACCATTTTAATGTTAGGGCTCACTAACTGGCATTCTCAAAGTGTTGTGCATATATCAGGAAGCAGTTGACTTACCTGTAATTAAAAGGCTTGGATTCCACCAAAGGTAGGAGGGCAAGCTCTCTAGCTGCTGACGTGGCTGCTGGCTCCCAGAACTCAATGCTGAGTCCATAAAAATGTCTATCATCCATCCTCAGTGGCCCTGAGCCAGATGATTCAAAGCCGCAATCTGGGGCTTTGTGGGCCTGGCGTTTTTACTCTGTACATGGAGACTAAGGCTCCGCTTGTCTCTGGCAGATGCAAGCTGGCGGATTTTGCTTCAGAACCCAAACGGACTTCTGACAACCTATTTTGTCAGAGTAGGACACAGACTCTTGCTAGGGACTTGCTGCTGGCATCCTTTTTTTTTTTTTTTTTAAGATTTTATTTATTTATTTGAGAGAGGGAGAGAGAACGAGCAGAGGGGGAGGCAGAGGGAGAGGGAGAAACAGAATCCCCGCTGAGCAGGGAGCCCCGACTGGGGCTCAATCCCAGGACCCTGGGATCATGACCTGAGCCAAAGCCAGGAGTCACCCATTCAACTGACTGAGCCACCTAGGCGCCCCCAGGGGTTTTTTAAATGTCCTGTCTATGTCTGGAAAAGCAGAATGATATAACAGCAGTCTTCTCAAATCTGAGTCATATATGGGCCCCTTTAAAGGAAAACATTCTTTTTTTACTCTCAATGATGACCTTTATATTATTTTATTATGTTACTTGATATATAAACATGAAACCAGTTATGAACGCCCAAATAAATTTAAATTTTAAATAAAAACACAGCTACAAAGCCAAGAATATGTCAATGTAATAATATTAATTTAAATTAATAGTTAATGTTTGGCCAAAACTCACATCATCATTCCAAACATGAATATAGCACTGATTCTTAAGATGCAGATTTTGAGTTTTATGTGCATATACTACCGTGTTCAGAATGAGAAGTGCTTTTTCCCCACGACTTTTTTGTTTGAACCACAATAATATAACTGAGTCCTCCCTTAGCATGAATGTGTTATGAAATTCTAGTCTGTTCTTTTCTGACTGACTTGGGACAATTAAGGTAGGGTCTCACTTGATAACAACATTAGCATAAACAAGCAAAATTCAAATGTCCTGAAAGTACTCTTTTAAGATGGTCTTCCAGAAGATCCAGAACATGTCTATTTAAAGATTATGATTGAGATGACATACTAAGATTTAGGAATTGTCTATAGAGCTCATGAACCCTGAGAACACACCCAGAGGCCCCCTCCTATGAAACCCAGTTTGAGAAACACTGGCAAGACTGGGAAGAGTCACTTTGGACTCCAAAAAGCCAAGTCAAAATTCTAAATACATGAACTTGAGAAATTATTTAATCGCTCTGAGCCCATTTTCTTAATGGTAAAACAGGAATAATAATGCCTCTCTTACCTAGTTATTTTCATGATTAAATGAAGTAACACAAGGAAAGTGTTTGGCATAGAGGACATGCTCAATAATAGTTTCCAGGGCACCTGGGTGGCTCAGTAGGTTAACTGTCTGCCTTTGGCTCAGGTCATGATCCCAGGGTCCTGGGATCGAGCCCCGCATCAGGCTCCCCAATCAGCGGGGAGTCTGCTTCTCCCTCTCCCTCTGCTCCTCCCCCTGCTTGTGTGCTCTCTCTGTCAAATAAATAAATAAAATATTAAAAAAAATAATAATCTGTTTCCTTCCCTTTCCTCTCACCAGGTTCTATCACCAACTTTTTAGATTAAAATTATGAAAAGTCACAAAAATCAAAGAATTTAATTCCTAAAATTATAAAAGTAACAAATAGTCTAAATTTTTAAAATAGAAAATATAGAATAAAAAATGTGACAGTCCCCCTTCTCCATTCCTTTCATCCCTCTCCTCTATCCAGAGGTAATAACCCCTCTGGGTTCTCTGTATCCTTCCAGAACTCTCTCTATGCATTTGCAAATATGAACCCACACACATTCACACAGATTTTTGAAAACATAAAAAGGAAAACTATCTACACATTACCTATTTTCATTTAATTTTTTAAATTTTATTTTATTGTTATGTTAATCACATTACATCATTAGTTTTTGATGTAGTATTCCATGATTCATTGTTTGCATTTAACAGCCAGTGCTCCATTCAATACGTGCCCTCCTTAATACCCATCACCAGGCTAACCCATCCCCCCACCCCCCTCCCCTCTAGAACCCTCAGTTTATTTCTCAGAGTCCATCGTCTCTCATGGTTCATCTCCCCCTCCGATTTCCCCCCTTCATTTTTCCCTTCCTACTATCTTCTTCTTTTTTTTTTTTTTTAACATATAATGTATTATTTGTTTCAGAGGTACAGGTCTGTGATTCAACAGTTAAAGATTTTTATTTATTCATTTGAGAGGGAGAGAGAGAGAGAGAGAGCACAAGCAGGGGGAGCAGCAGAGGGAGAGGGAGAAGCAGACTCCCAGCCGAGCAGGGAGCCCAATGAGGGACTCGATCCCAGGACCCTGGAAACATGACCCGAGCCGAAGGCAGACACTTAACCACTGAGCCCCCCAGGTGCCCCTCCATTTCATTCATCACAGATAAGAGTATAGCTATTTAACACACAGTCATTTTTTAAAAATTTGGATCATTCATCTTATAGGCAACATACAAACTTCTGGGAATAGTTTGGAATATTGAAGTTCCATTTATTCATTCATTATCAGC